AGCGAGGCGTCCGCGTCCTCCAGCCATCGCTGTAACAGTGGTTTCAATTTACACATGTTTTTGAAGGAGAGGTTCAACGCCTCGAAACGGCTGATCGTTGTCTGCGAGAAGTCATTGCCGTATAGTTTACCCATCGCTAGACCGACGTCGCCCTGAGTGAAACCTAATAGACATCGATTGTTATATTAATTATATAAATTGCTGTTAATTTTGTGTTTGTTTGTAATTTAAAAATTTTATGTATGAATAGTGTTATTTAAATTTGATTAAATAAAAAAATCTTTTCTTACATTTCTCATTTTAATTTTCCTTTATACACTGTTTATACTATTTATTATAGTATTTTATACTGTTTTTCTATTTTTCTATATATAGTAGTTTTTTAGTTGTATCCCCTTTAGGGGATACGACCTGCCGGTCAGTGAGTGCTGCGGTATTATAACCACTAGACTACTGTCCGGACTGAAACTTCTAGGTGTTATATTCCTAATCTTACTTACAATAGATGATTAATATAAAAAAAATAAACTACAGTATAACATTTATCAATATAACCTTGTAATATTCAACTTTTCTAAGCGGTTCATGTAGGTATTGAAAAATGAATATTCAAAAATGACATTGGTCAATCGATAGCTTACCCAACTTAATCCGCCTCTGTTTGAAAGTCTTGGCGAACTGTTCCAACTCTTCCAAATCGGTCATCTCATCGGGATTGGGATCCGTGGGACGGGTGGCCACGGCTTTGAGCGTCGGATGAGATGATACCAGCGATGATGAGTTGGTATTCGTATTATTATTATTACTGAAGGCGTTATTATTGTTATTATTATTATTATAAAACGAGGAATTTGTACTCAATTTGCTATGAATTTGATGCGAGTTTTGCTGTTGATTACTGTTATGATGGTTAACACTGTTATGATTATGGGAACTGTTGTTGTGTTGGTGTTGGTTATGGTGTTGCTGTTGCTGTTGGGACTGTTGCTGGTGTTGTTGTGCCGACTGATTGGTGTGGTGTTGCTGTTGTTGTGACTGTTGTTGGGACTGCTGTTGCAATACTTGTTGCGATTCTTGCAATTGCTGTAACTGTTGGGCTGCGGCCGCCGCCGCCACCGATGGCAACACTCCCTGACCCGCCAGCGACTGTAGCGACTGCTGGAACAGACCCTGTTGTAGCAAACCCTGTGATTGGGTGACAGGTGATTTTAATAAATATGTGCGAATTTAATACTAGTTATTAATAGTGTAAAGTAAGTGTGTTAATGAATTAAAGGCATTCTAAATACAATATGCTAAAATCTATTTATACATGTAAGTCCTGTTATGTAATACATGTAAAGTACAGTACAGTACAGTAAGTTCTGTGTCATTATAATTGTTAGCAAAGTCCTGTTTATAATAAATATGGTAATTGTTTCCCTAACACTATATGGTTAGACCGACGGTATGTTATAATACCATATAAAGTTGATTTACATATAATTTTTCTAAATAAATTAATTGTTTAACATCATTATTAAAATATGCTATAAAAATTTCTACCATAAACAATTTATTTGTGAATTTTGAATAAACAAAAAATATGATTAATTACTTGATTCTGGAGGAGGAGCTGCGCCTGTAGTTGTTGGAGATTAGCGGGCAGTTGACCCCCAATACCACCCAATTGTCCCAAACCCTGCAATTGGTTTTGTTGCTGAAGTAATAGCAAGGGCTGTATATTCTGCAGATTCTGTTGCTGTTGTTGCAACTGTTGGATCTGTTGCTGCAATTGCTGTAACTCAGCGTTTTGTGCGCTCAGACCCGACAGTGTGTTTTGCACCGGCATCTGAAATACACAAATAATTGCATTGTTATTATAATATTTTACGTTTAGTAAGTATTAGTGATTACTATAAAAATGAATTGTATTGTACATACCTTTGAGGCCTGTTGTATCTGTTGAGCTAAACCGGCCTGTAGTAGCATTTGCTGCTGACCCGCCTGTGCCATCAGCTAGTGTTTCAATTCAAACAAGATCATTTATAATAAAATACTTGATACTAATTATAAAACAGTGTGCATATAATGCACTGAATGGACGCATACCTGTCCGAGTAATTGGTTAACAGACATGCCATTAGTGGCTGCGGCGGTGGCCAACGCGGCGGCCGCCGTAGCGAAACTGTTGGGCGACAGTTGGGGCTGAGCTCCGGCACCGGCGCCCGTCTGCTGACCGCCGATCAGTCCGTTATTACTGCCGCCATTGCGGCCGTCGTTTGACGTGAATTTGTTGGGACTCCGACTGGACGTCAACTTACCGTCCCTTCCGTTCGGAGTCATTAGGGTTTTGTCCAAACGATTGATACTATTATTAAATGTAATGTTATTGTGAGCTAAGCCTACGGTGGCGTCGATCGGCTCGTCATCCATGGCCTACAAAATGCATTGTTTTTTCAGACAATTAGTTAATTTTAATGTGATTTTAATTGTTGATAATTTTTATCGTAATATTAATGCAATTCATACCAAATTCAACGCTTTATCGGAGTCTAAACTATTGTCGTCTTCGGGACCCAAATCGCCGGAACCGACACTCGACCGGCTGTCCTGTGTATCTGAGAGGTCACCATTCATTCCCGGGTCTAATAAATAATAAAAAAATAATATTGATTAAATATTTATATACTTTTATAACTATGTAATTATAAATAATTTTAAAAACTACACAATTGTATCGCAAAAGTAAGTGAAATTTTTATTGGGGCCCCAAATGTAACACACATTTAATTGTATTTAATTTAGACATTGGTTGAGAGCCCCTGTAGTCGCTGTCAATCACATGGACTGGCGGTGCGGTTATCGGCAAAAAGGGATAATACATGTGTTTGAGAGATGACATAAGGGGCGCAACACGTGTGGGCTCTGTATAGTGTATGTAATAAATAAACTACTGGTGTGTGTATTGCACAATGATGTACACTATATAAAATATAGTTCACATGAAACAATAGAATTTGGTGATATAGATTGACATTGTTTTCAACCTATTTATTACCAAGTCATTAAATATTAATTTTTAATTTATGACAAAATTTGTTTTTTGTTGTTGTATTAAAAGATTGTGTTTTAGTATTTTTTCATTAATATTCAGAATATTATTAATATTTTATATATTTTTATTATAAAAATATGTTTTGCATTAATATTAATATATATTCACACAAAAAATATGTTTTGAATATTAAATATATCTAACGTTAGATAAAATCAATTACTCGCCGGAAATTTGAAATTTTAGACCAAAATTATTTTCACCAAAAATTGATAAAAATTTTATGAATTTATAAATATTTCCCGAAAAATATTTATTTAAATGTCGTTTGTATTGAAGATAAAACTGCAAACAATAAATGCAAATCATTTTAGGTTTTGATTTTGAGGTTTAGCTTTAGTGGCAATGTTTTAAAAATTGCATTATCATAATTATGGAAATAAAAATCTAGTTTATTTAAAGTGACAAAAAAATTCATGGGAAATATTGTCATCGCCTGGAAAAATGGTGTATAAATATGTTTTCATACATTTTGATATATGTTTGCGAATATAAAACTGAGAAAATATACAAAAATAACAATAATATAGAAAACATATGACAAGACATCGGAGAAAGGGATGGAAACGAGTTGTAAATTTTGGTTCAAAAAATATATTATATAATATATTTTGATATTTGAGAAGTAGTTGAGAAAAATCAAAACATTTTAATAAACATGACTTTATGTGACAAAAACATTGTTTATTCAACAGCTGACTGACGGCACGGGTAGTCATGTCTTTTGAGCTAACAGTGACTTCTGTGCCGACAAATAACCCAAAGATTTTTTATTCTGACGATGAAAACGATAGAAATATATTATTTTGATATTTTATGCCATAATATGTATACACTGTATATCCATATGTAAACGCTATGTACTGTATGTTTAAGCGCTTGTAAACCTCTGAGAAAAGTCTCTCTCTCTCTCTCTCTCTCTCTCTCTCTCTCTCGACTCAATATTCAGTGTATATTATAAACAGTTTTTTCATTTCAATATTTTTGTGTCCATTTCTTATACATTTTGTGCAAATCTTTTTTGGACTCAATTTTTCTTTTGGTTTTTATTTCTCGGCTCTAAAGCGGACGTTAATATTGAGAAATATTTCATTTTTTTCATTTTCATATTTATTTTATTTTTGCAAAGAATATTCTTTACGAGAATATTATTCCTAAACACTGTTTCCCATTGAAAACAGAATTTAATTTTCAAAACATTATTTTCCAAAACAAATCTTTCGCTTATCTGGCATTCAATTAAACTTTTTTCAACACAAAAAATTGTGCAAAAAATACATTTACAGTAAAATACAATTTTGGGCACAAAGAAACACCATCATTAATAACATGTAACATACAGTTCCGCATACCAGGGCTCGTGGCACACGTCAACACCACCACCACTTCCCTCTCCCCCTCTTCCCCACGCATTCACACCTTTATTGTTTGAATGTGTCGTTTGTCGGACTAATTGAGACTTAAGGGTATTTTATTTGACGGTCTCTCTCTCTCTCTCTCTCTCTCTCCCTCTCTCTCTCTCTCCATCACTATATTTGTGATGAGAGGGGAAACTCCGTGGAGTGGGTTGTCGTCAGAGACATACAGTAAAGGCTATACTAAACACAGTGTGGATAGCGATTGTGGGGTATGTGTTGTAAGAGCGCCGGCAATATGGTTGATGTCGGATGAATTGGAGGCCACGAATACATCATAATCCGTCACAATCAGGCCCTCACTCTTTCCCCCAGAAATTTACTCGCTTTTCATATATATAATAGAGAGAGAGAGAGAGAGAGAGATCACAGACATCAGGAAAGTGAGAGGAAACATATCGCTGGAGAGCACCGGCACTCTCTCTCTCTCTCTCTCTCTCTCTCTCTCTCTCTCGCAGACAATCACCACTACTATTACTACCAGAGAGTTAGCGGCAGACAATCGGTAGGGATAACTCGTGGGGAAAGAAATTGCTCTCCAATTCCTGCTCTCCCTGTCCTCTAAAATTCACTGCACTCGTAGTCGGAGAGTGAGTGAGTGAGAGAGAGAGAGAGAGAGAGAGAGAGAGAGAGAATT